GTTCCCATAATCTGCAGGGGTAGAAACAAGGAATATTATACAGTAAATACAGAGATTATTATACAATGAGTATAATACAACCAGCAAGTAAATATAACACCAAACCCAAACAGATACCTCTTAAGATGACACATTGTATCTTTTTTGTTGTTGGTGGTGGTGGTGAGGCTTGAACTCTGGGCCTGGGCTCTGTCCTTGAGATCTTCAGCTCAAGGCTAGCGCTCTACCACTTGAGCTACAGTGCCACTTCCAGTTTTCTGAGTGGTTTATTGGAGATAAGAGTCTCACGGACTTTCCTGCCTGGGCTGGCTTTGAACTGTGATCCTCAGATCTCAGCCTCCTGAGTAGCTAGGATGACAGTCACTGCTGCCTGGCCTGACACATTGTATTTTGTACAACTGTATTGTCATTTTTTCTCATTTCTATTTTATAGATCAGACAACAGGGTTTAATGAGATTAAGATACTCCTCCTAACCCCCAGCTAAAAAATCACTTAGATATGTTAAATCCAGACCTAATTGCTCCAAGGCCATAATCCTCTTCACAGTTCTGCTTTCCTGCCCATTGAGTTAGCAGTCTGCAGGAACTGTCTTATTTGGACCTCTCTGCTTGACTAGCTTGTGAAAGCTTTAAGGATAGGGTCCATACATTTTTCATATTGGATGCTCAGCATGTGGCAGTGTTGACTGAACATGTTTATGTATAGATGCCAGAAACAGAATCTTACCCATTGCTTCTGATCCTCTAATATTTATTCCTTTTACCTACTCATGTCAAGTTTTAGTTATATTTTTATTGTCTTTAAGCTGTTGTACAAAGAATTTACCACTCAACAAATCAGTTTATGAATACAATGCATCTTGATGTCACACTCCTGTCAAGTTTTTTCTTCTGAATAAGAGAACGTTTATTTGAAAGTAAAAGAAAAATCTATGGAAGTAGCAAAAACTCTCCATCTAGAGAGGATTCTCAAGAGGAGTCTTCTTTTTCACATTTAAAAGCAATTTTAATTGATGTTAAAGCAATAGGGTTTTATATTCTTGAAGATTAACAATAACACAAGGACTAATTTGCAGGGCTCTTTTGTCCCTTAGGCTCTATAGACTCAATGTCTGCTAACTCTAACTTTTCAAGACCACTAGAACAATGTTTGAGACCTAAAACAAAAAAAAAATTATGGACTCCCAAGTGAGAAGAGAAAATGTGAAGATTGGGAAAACACTGTTTAAAATATCTAGCAAATGTAACTAGTCATTTGCAATTCAACTTGACTCAACTTTCAGAGCTACCTTAAATTATGTTTAATGTGAGGTAAGAGTACATTAAATAGGTTCTCATATGCCATCAGATAGGCAAGAGGAGTCCTCTTGTCAAATTTTGTTGGCAGATTTATTATAAAACTTGCAGAGGTCTGTAGATTTTTACCCTTTTTATAATTTATATTTCCTTTACCCTGAAAAGTCTTTCTAGCATTGTCAACTACGCAGCATGAATAAAGGTTAAAGAAAAAGGCTGAAGGGCCCAGAGGAAAACAATGCTTTCAACATGCCGGCATCAATGTTTCTGAAGATTGCCATCCATTGTGTTAGGATGAGGGTCTGCCTCATGGAGGACCTTGTCTTTGAGAGGTAAGAGTTAAAAACTAGCCATGGAGAACCAGAGGTGCCTCTTTCTGGTTGACCAAGCAGGTGAGTGGCCAGTGTGTGACAGGTCTGCCAGCCTCTGAGGTGGATATGGGACAGGAGGTGTCATGTTCTTGAGTAAAGTGAAGATAAAGATATCCACCTAATGAGGTGTGTGTGTGTGTGTGTGTGTGTGTGTGTGTGTGTGGCTTTCTTCATCTCCCTGGGCCTCAACTCTTTGACACCAAGAAGTATCATGTTCATTGCTAACAGGAAGACAAAGGTGATGTGTATGTGTGTGTGTGTGTGTGTGTGTGACTGGAGCTCAGTCCTGCTCAGGTAGCTGTGGGTGTTAAACATGAAGTACATGGTGGGTTAAAAAAAAGCAAAAACAAGCTGGGCGCTGGTGGCTCATGCCTGTCATCCTAGCTACTCAGCTGAGATCTGAGAATCATGGTTCAAAATCAGCCTGGGCAGGAAAGTCTGTGAGACTCTTATCTCCAATAAACCACTAGAAAACCGGAAGTGGAGCTGTGGCTCAAGCCGTAGAATGTTTGCCTTGAGCTGAAGAGCTGAGGGACAGCGCCCAGGCCCAGAGTTCAAGCCCCACGACCAAAAAAAAAGCAAAAACAAAAAACAAAGTGATTTTTTTTTTGTTTGTGTGTGTATGCGTGCCAACTCTGTGGCTTGAACTCAGGGCCTTTCATGTTTGCCATTTCATCTGAGGCTAGGGCTCTATCACTAAGGCATACCTCCATGTCCAACTTTTTGCTGGATAATTGGAGATATCAGTCTCATGGATACTGTTCTTCCTGGGCTGGCTTCGAACCATGATTCTCAGATCTCAGCTTCCTGAGTAGCTAGGATCACAGGTATGAGCCACCAGCACCCAGCTTAAGTGATTTTAAAGAATAACAAAAGCTATTTAGAAGCGCATACAGAAAAAGTGCTGTTGAGGTAAGGTATGGAGGAAGCCAGCCCTCCCCATGCATGGAAGTAGATAGGAATTATTCATAAAAAATAGGTGAGCTGGGCACTGGTGGTTCATACCTGTGATCCTAGCTACTCAGGAAGCTGAGATCTGAGGATCATGGTTCGAAATCAACACAAGCAGGAAAGTCAGTGAGACTCTTATCTCCAATTAACCACAAGAAAACTGGAAGTGGTACTGTGGCTCAAAGTGGTACAAAATTACCTAGGGACAGTGCCCAGGTCTTGAGTTCAAGCCCTGCAACTGACAAAAATAAAAATTAAAAAAAAAAGAAAGAGGGCTGGGAAGGTGGTAGAGTGGTAGAGTGCTTGACTTGCATGCATGAAGCTCTGGGTTTGATTCCTCAGCACCACATAAGCAGAAAAAGCTGGAAGTGGCGCTGTGGCTCAAGTGGTAGAGCACTAGCCTTGGGCTGAAGAGCTGAGGAACAGCACCCAGGCCCAGAGTTCAGGCCCCATGACCGACAAAAAAAGAAAAAAAAGAAAGAAAGAAAGGAAGAAAAGAAACGAAAAGAAAGGAAGGAAGGAAGGAAGGAAGGAAGGAAGGAAGGAAGAAAGAAAGAAAGAAAGAAAGAAAGAAAGAAAGAAAGAAAGAAAGAAAGAAAGAAAGAAAGAAAGAAAAAGAAAGAAAGAATATGTTAAATGTAAGGAAGAAAATGGCAGTTGCCTGTCCAGAATTGCACAATGCTAGACTTCTTTCCCTCTGTAGGATGGAATAGTTGGGGAGATTTATACTACACAAGAGCAAATGTCAATGTTGAAGGTGCAAATGACCATCAGTTCTTACCAGATTTTTCTACAGAAAATGGCAGGACCACCAGTTTTTTCCTTAATAGGTTGGATAATTTCATTTTAGGTAAAGATAATCAACATTTGCACCTAAATTTGTCTTAACTGTGATGTTTTCAGACCAGTACATAATTTAATGGTCTCCAAAATCCTTCTTTGACTCAGAAGGTACCTAGGGATACTCTCTGAAGTAGAATTCAGCCGCTTTTCATTTTAGTTTTCCCACCTGGTAGATGGAACATTGTCCGTATCATATGCACCCCTCAAAACTTGGTTGGAAGGACATCTTGCAAATTCATTATTCATTTTCTCTGACAGTATGGACACACCACTCCTGTTATCTTCTGATGGCTTTTTTTTTTTTGTCCTAGTACTGCTCTTGAACACAGGGTGTCACATTCTCAGTTAGCTTTTTCTTCAAGGCTGTTGCTGTACCACTTGAGCCAAGGCTCCATTTCTGGCTTTCTGCTAGTTATGTGGAGATGAATCTCATGGACTTTCGTGCCCATACTAGATTCGAACCACAGTCCTGAGATCTCAGAGTCTTGAAAACCTGGGAAGACAGGCATGAGCCCCCAGCCCCTGGCTAATTTTTCTCTTACTTCAAAGTGACAGTCCAGTGTTACTTATTGTCATCTGGCTGACCCACAAGGCAACATCTCATTTACCCTTTACATCAAAGTTGAAGATACAAGCCACTGAATACATTTTTTTTCTGGATTAACTATATTTATTCCTCAACCACACAGTTCTAAATTTCTGTTTCTGTAACTCATTGCATTTTGCTCTTGGTTTAATGTCCTATCCTCATTTACTTACGCTTAAGTTTTTAAATTTTCTTTTGTCTTCTTTTCTGTTTTCTCTTTTCTTTTCCTTTCTTTTCTGAGCTGGGTTCTTACTAGCTGCCCAGGCTGGTCTTCAGGCTGTGTGCTCAAGTGAACCCATCTCAACCTCCTGAGTAGCTGGGCTTACAGGTGGGTGTCATTATGACTGGCTTAAGTTTTTTTAGTTAAACTTTTTTTTTAGTAGGTCATGGGGCTTGGACTTGGGCCCTAGGCACTATCCTGGAACTCTTTTGCTCAAGGCTAGCGCTCTACCACTTTGAGCCATAACACCACTTAATAATTAAACTTTTGGTAAAATTATAAGTCCACATATAGTTGCAAAATCCAATACACTTCACACAGTTTCCCCCTGCAATAATATTCTGCATAACTATAGTGCAACACAAAAACCAGAAAGTTAGGCCGAATGCCTTTTTAAAATTCAGAGTTTAAGAATTAAATTAGCATTATCCTAGGGCTTGAACCCAGGGCCTGGGTTCTGTTCCTCAGCTCACAGCTCTGCTTTGGCTTTCTTTGGTGGACTTTCCTGCTGGCTTCAAACTGTGATCCACAGATCTCAGCTTCCTGAGGAGCTATGATTACAGGCATGAGCCACCAGTGCCTAGTATACTGCCCAATTTTTAAGATTACTTGGGTAGTATGGAAGGGTCCAAACTAAAGAAAGAGAAGTGGCCTCTTGGGGAGAAGAGATTTCTTGAGTTTCCCTGTCCGCAATCTGCAATACAGGCAGGGATCAGAGGCAGAGGAAGTCAGTTTACAATGCATAATGATATGTCTTTATTTCATCAACAGAAATGGTGTCTAGACAAAAATTCAATTAACACTAGCAATTCAACTGAGTGAATTTTTTGCACAATAGTGTATTTACAATGAGTAAATGAAGTTTCAATTCATTAGTTCATAGCAATGCTTTTTCTCCCCCAAAAGGTAAAAATTCTTAGTTACAGAGAATAAGCATCAACAGCCATTTCATCTTTACAATAAAAACCACAAGAAAAACCACAATCACTTAGGAAAAAAAAGGACAAGCCTAAGAACTAGTACAATAAAATGATGCATTGAATTAAGTTACATTAATCGCATAGAATCTGTGTAAAAAGTATGTAGAAAAACACCTGATGTAACCTGTTACAGTCGTTGACCAGTTATGAGAGGTACAGAGGGTTATACAGGTAGATATGTGTGAAAACTGTCCATATTGTTCGACCTGGGGAGGAAGAGGAGAGGGGCTGCAGCCCCTTGCATACACTGAGAAGACCCTGTTTTGAATATGGCCTCTGGAGTTTGTAAGGCATATGTTAGAGGTGCACTTGCATTAGACTGGTTCTGGAACAAATTCTCACAGGCCTTCTCGCCGTGAATGGTTCACTGTGTCTAACAAGCACCTGAAGCTCCCAAATGCATTTGCAATCTTCCTGGTAACTCACCACAGGTGCCAGGTTCTTGTGTCAATGAGCATTTCAGCATCCGCACACCCCAAATGCATCGTTAGGACTCAAGTGGAGGCCAACCCTCCGCCTCCAGACATGTTTTGGTAGCAGGTTTTGCATCAATCTGTAGGAAAACCCTTCTCTGTCCAGGTTCCTTCTTTCTTTCCTTAAATACATGTCTGATTGTCCCCGTGGGAGCATTTGGCACGGAATGGGAGTCTACCTGATATGAATGGTCTCGCTGCACTTCAGTGTCAATGAAGGGCCACTGTTTTATCTGAGGTCAATAATGTGGAATAAACGTTGTTTGTCCATTGCTTGAATAATGCATACACCATGTCACGACATTAAATCAAAGCTTACAAAAGTTGGCCTCTGCAACCAAGTGGGTATTTTTCACAAAAAATGGCAGCATCATTTTCATATCACAATTAAAATGTACTGATATTTATTTGATATAAATATTATCTCCCAGGGTGGAGTGTAGGAAAATACTATACACTTACTTTTCTTTGCAAGTACTGTTTTTCTTTTTTGCACTGTCAGCTGAATAATTTATCCTTGATCTGCCACAAGTCTTTTCTATGTACAAATACTATTTGCACACACTATTCACAAATATATCCTAGTCTACAGCATCTGCCTTTGATGCTTGGGTCATGAGATGGCTTGGGCAGTGTCATAAACACACATGTGGAACACGAGATGCCCGCATGCACAGACTTCCTCTCTGGACAGGGCATTGTGGCACGGACTGACTTGCCAGAAATTGAACCTACAATAAAATCCTCACCTTTGGGAAAGGATACTAACATGATAACAACAAACAGCTTTATTCTCTAAGAAGATATCTTGTTCTTTCATCTGTTTTTTTTTTCATTTTTTGGTGCTTTGAGGGCAAAACTTGATTCTTGCTTCCTGCCAGAGCGGAGATTCTCCCTACACTATAAGCAATAGTGGAGAAGTTTGAAGTCAATTAAGCTACTAGTTTGAATGGGGCATGATGTGAAGAAATAGGTTGTCAAATAAAGACTTGACTAGCCTTTGTAGGTTTATACTCATTTTGAGAAGATTACATTACTCCATAGGATGTAGGATTTTGCTGTTTCTTAAAAGCCTTATGATTACAAACCCTTGGTCTGTGTCTTCTTTTTCTTCTACCACAGTGGCAATCATAAGGTATTAAAGCAACAGGAAGCATAGGTGTTAGGCAGTCCTCTCACGCAAGTCCTGTGGTCGGTCCCGGGCTCCTTTTTAAGGAGATTTGCAATTGGCATATTAGTCACTAGATTTTTTTTTTTTACTTCCTTGGGAAAGCAATGCAAGGATCACATCCAAAATTATAGTGCACCTTAAAAAGCAGCATACCTTTAAACGAAAGTCAATAAATTACTTGTACAACATATAAAATAACGTTTTTCTACGGCAGCATCACCTCTGACGCCTGAGTCATGGTTAGGGAACCTGGAAGAGAAGTAGCAGGATGGCCTAGTAACTTTGCCAGCTTTAAAAAAATGTTTGCAACTGCTTTGTTCCAGAATCAGTATATAATGAAGTTCGATTTTATTCAAGGCACCCCCAGATAACGCAGAGAAACACATACAGTAAAGCACTCACCTGCCCAAAGCCGGACGAACCTGAATGAACGGAGGTTGTCCAGAGACCTAAGTAGAACAAAAGCTGATCCAAAGGGAGGACTAGGTTTAGGTGCTGTTAATTAGTCACCCCAACAACCCATGTGTACCCTAGCCATTGGGACACTCAACCAAGCTGTCACAGAGACCCCTGTAAATAGCCCATGATTGGAACTTCCTTTATTTATAAGGAAGGACCATTGGAAAAAAAACCAGTTAAATGTCACCTTAGTGTGCAAATATTTTTCCTTCTGTTCTCTTGCTTTTCCTTTTCATAAAAGGTTTAGGATTGACTCAGGGATCCCAGGGAAGGAGACAGACTAGGTTTTAAAATTTTCATTTGAGGCAATTTGGATTTTGGTCCCTAGTGAGTCATCCCTTTGAATCAACCTAGAGACAATTTTGACAAGCAATGGTTTAGAATAGTAAAAGACACAGACATATCACATAAACAATTCCAGTAGCTGTTCATGGTGGATGATAAAGGAAATAATTTGTTAAAAAATATCAAAGGAGTAGAATGATAGTTTTTAGAGTAATGTGTTTTTTTCTCTTTTCTTTGTTTAAAACCAGTTCCTACTGCTGGGTGGTTGAAGAGGAAATCAAGCAGTCAGGAACTGGTGAGAGGAAGATGAGGGTGGAATCAGGTGGAGAGCAATAAAGACCCTTTCCCTCCTAGCATGTCTGGGGTACATGTCTGGGCTACCAAACAACCCAAATCAGGAGAACGGATGGAACAAGGTCAATCCTACCAGTTGCACATGAGTTGTTACTGGAGCAAATCAAGCCAAGAAGCTGGTTTGCATCTGCTTGTGGTATGAGCAGAACACATTCCTTGTTTTCCAAAAGAGAGCACTTAAAAAGGCAACATGAAAGTGAAAAAATAAAATACTGTCTTCTAACTGCTCCACCATAAAGCATAGTTATATATCATATGATAGTATAGTTATAGTTATAGTATCATGTGATTCACATTGAGTTAAAATTCTAGCTGTCACCAGTTTCCCACAAAGGCAAAACTGGTGAAATACAGAACTGTTCGACTAGGCCAAGAAATTCCAACAAGCAGAACAAAAATGGTAGCTTCAACGCAGTGATTTCTCCAAATCTTTCTCTGACACACACACACACACACACACACACACACACACACACACACACACACACACGAGGACATGAAAACCCAGAGGCAGGTTTTAAAAGTGGAACTACTTGAAAAGAAAAAGCCTTAAAAAAACCCCTACTGCATGAACTAACACATTTCTGGCATTCATACATATTCAAACATTTAGTGCTACTATTTGTACAGAAAGAAGTTAATAATACTAAAACATAGGTTACTATGATTTCACTTTTTTTGCCTACTAATCATATACTAAAGTTCTCCTTTTACATGCAGCTTTAAATATTGTCCAAAACAATGGCACAAATCAAGAAACAAAGTCAATCATCTATTCCCCCACCTGCCCACCACCCCATCCCCACATCAAACTGTTCTGGACTGCCTTGCACAGCCAGGCTAGAGTGGCCCTCAGGCTGCTGAACTAGAGAAGAGGGGACCATTGGAAGGAGAGAGCTGATTCCTCCTTGGGGCACACCTTCCTGTCAACACGGCCAGGGCCAGGACACCCCAGAGCCAGGAAAGCTGCTCTGTCTGAGTTGCAAGCCAACCAACTTTACAGCAAGGGAAGCAAACCCTCAGGTGAGGGTAGGGTGTGTGTGTGCAAGAAGGGCTGATGCCTTGTCTAAAGCTTCAGTATGAAGCTGCCTGCAGACAAGAGACCAGCAGAAAAACCTCAGAGTACAACTCAAAGCATTTAGAGGAAGAGAGGAGAAAGAAATATGTTAGCCTGTGTCAGGGGTAGATCTCAGGCTTAAATCTGCCCTGCTCTCTCCTACTTTTACAAGCTGCATTAACCTAGGAGCTGCCACTTAAAGGCAGAACACCCAGGCCATGACTCAAATCCTCTCAGGTAGATGTCCTGGGAGGTAATCCTGGTAGGAAAGTGGGGTGGCTTATTAGCCACTTCCTTCAAAGGAGAAGGTCCTACTGTCTAACACTTCCAAGAGCAAGCCAAGGCTGGATGAAGTGCTGAAATGAATGTGACATACTCCCTGGGTAAGAAATAGTTCTACCTTGATTTCTAGGAGCCAATGCCTGTCGAGTTCCGGTACAAAGTTTCAGATTTCTGCTGTTGTGATGTACTCTTGAGTGAGACATCTAAATCCTCCCCGGTTAGGAAACTGACCCTCCAGCATCAACTCCGAGCTTGATCTGCAGTGAAATTTTACATAGGGCAAGCTGGGGAGGAGGTGAGATAGAAAAATATTCAAGCGGATTATTGTTTACACATCCTAGGATGGATTCATTATTTGGCAAGATTGTATTTTTTTTCCTACATAATTATCACCTGAGTGCTTTTTAATTAGCTAAACTGTTTTACTTTTTAACTAAAAAGCAAAGAAAATACAGTATACTTGAGTTACACTGAAGTTACAACTTCATTTAAGAAAATAGGTTTGACCCCAAACTCAGTGCAAGTGGCAGAATTGACCATTACTGTACAGTATCTGCAAGAAGAAAACAACAACAACAAAAACAACACAAAAAACAACCCCCTACAAAGCACGAACCCACAATGCTCACATGACACCATTTGGTGGTGCCCAACCCAAATCAAAGAGAAAAAGCCTGAATTAAACTTTACAAAAAAAAAAAAAGCTTCCAACATGATTGAATTTTGTCCATAAATAAGTACAAATTGAAATTGAACCATGAAGCAAGAAAAATGAGCAGGTTGATGGTTACCAAACTAGTTCTAGCACTACAGACAAAAGAAGAGGAATGTTGGAACCTGTTTATAAATGAGAAATAAGTTTCCAGTTTTAGGATGAAAAAAAAACTGAGGCATGCAGGACTTTTGCATATGGATATATATTTCATATATATTATATATACTATGTACAGTCTAGCTATAAAACTTTGATGTGTATAGAAGCTGTCATCAATGAAAAAAATTGAACATTCAGAAGATATTCCTGAGATAGGGTTTGTGACATGGGCCACTGAGAAAAAAAATCCGTGGTGGGGTCCTAGAGGTGTTGTCGTCTATCCCTGTGAAGACTGAAATAAACCCACAGACAGACAGTGTCAGCACTGTTGTCTTTCCTTGCCTGAGCAAGGGGTAGCACCATTGTGAAGGGAACTATCTATGACTCCTGCTTGAAGAGAGCAGGGAATACTTCAGAACAGTATTGCTGCTAAGACCGCTGTAGTGTGCACCAGATTTGTTCTTGGTTCTTCCAGACAACAGATGTACAGTGCCACAGGCTGACTGAAGAACACCTGGATGGGAGAGGTGTGAAGGTTGGGAGGCAGATCTGAGTTCCTAGGTGTAGTCTTTCCTAGGCTGTTCATCCGTTGTACACTTATCAGTCATTTCCTGGCAAAAGTCCACAGTCACCGACTGGCTCCTGGGCTCCAGAGGAGGTCCTCTGTCGGAGAAGTTCCCTGGGTCAGTACCTTCCAATCTCCTCCCAGAGGTACAATTCTCAGAGGTGTTGCCTGGTACCCAGGGGGGTCCGGGGGGAGCCACACCTGGCTCCAAGCAGCAGGGCACATTTTCCCCCACTGCACACTGGGAGGCTGCAAGGCTCTGCTCAACACCCAAGGGAGGGGGGTTAATACTGGAGGCTCCAGGAAGATCCATGGGTATGAGGACAGGGCAATAGCGGTGCAGGGCCTGGATCTGCTCAGGGCTCTGGATGTCTCGGCACACTTCCTGGGAGAGGCAGGAGAAGTTGTCCAGCAGTTCCCCCATGCATGCTTTCAGTTGGTTTCTCTCTGACAAGAGTTTCTCTTTCTCACACACCTGGATGAAAGACAAAAAGGGAAGCTTGATCCACCGGGATTTGGAGGATAGAAGGCCTCATTTCGGAGGGTTTTCCAACCTTGGTTTTTATATCCTACATCGTAAACTAACTCATAGACGAGTAGGTGAGGATAGAGATACTTAAAACATATATACGCACAGGAAGTATGGACACATACTTCTACCTGAGTACTGGACCACATGTGTCTGACATTAACATCTATTCCACTGCACCTCTTAATTCCTCTCTGATGCCTAAATGTGGCCAAAAAGTCACCACCAAGCAGAAAACTGAGGGAATGTGTTCTGGCTTATAGGAACTTGGGGGTTTGAGGAGAATTGACTAGAAAACTCTTTTGCAAGCTTTATATATGAAAATTTCCCCTCTAATGCATTAGGTTGGTGCTTTTGAGTGACAGAAACCAACCGATTCCAAAACTCTGACATTCTAAAAAAGAAAAAAAAAAGGAAAAGCTGTGGAGATGATAAAGAGATCTGTGGCTGCCCGGGCTAGGAGGGAGGGGAGAGGATGAGTACAGACAACAGTTGAGCTAGTGAGTCTACTCCGCAATGCACAATGGTGGATGGCTGACACGACACAGGGATTGAAACTGATTGGTTGTACAACACCCAGTGAGAACCTGTTACAAAATAAGGGTGACCATGACAGGTCAGTAGAGGTTCATCCATTGTAGCAAATGTGCCCCCTTGGTGGGGATGCTGAGGGTTGGGGAGGTTGGGAGTGTTGGATCAGGGGCTACCTGGGACCTTTGTATTTTCCATCCATCTAAAACGACTCTGAAGAAGGGAGTCTATTTGAAAACAACGCATCATTGACCATCGGCAACTTCACATCAGCAGCAGCAGACCGAATGCGGCAGGGCCGTCTCAGAACACCGGGAACCATGCCATGAATCTTAAGCAGGGATTCTCCCCAGACTCAGGAAGGGAAGCCAGAAATGTGCCCCCTGAGTCCTCATGTATTAGTGCAGAGGAGGATAGAGAATCAAGGCCAGCCCCAGGCACAAACATGAAGCCCCCAACTGCAAGATATCAAACCCAAATAGAAGAGGTCAGGGATGGTAGGCACTTCACTCGCTGGAGGCCCTGTGGCGGTCAGTAGTCAAAACCCAGTTCCACCCAAAATAAAAAGTCACATGTGTTTTTGTGTGAGTACGATGTATCACTTCCTCACAGAGATGAGTTAAGTAGCAGAAAGGAGATTCATGAAGGTGCTACCAGCAATCCTGTGTGAGGAGAGGAGATGGGGAGAATCCAGGAGGCACACACAAAGTGACTGAAGACCCGGCACAGGAATCAGTGTGAAGTGAGGCCTGTCCGGCTGTGAACACGCAGGGGCAGCAAGGGGCCAGGAGAGGATGCGAGAGAGAGGGGTGAGCACTCGACATGGGAACTGCGCATGCACTAACCCAAATGCAATCTGGCAGGCAGCGTGGGCATGTGTGTCGGAGAAAGATTTACATGGGGAAAGGGCACCTGCTAAAATATTTATAAATTTATCAAGAAAACATGTTTTCAAAATGAAAAATAAACAGATGTACAAATGTAACTTGACAGAAATACATTATGCGAGTTTGCAAGAGCAGTGTGTGTGTGGGTATGGTGTGTGTGTGTGTGTGTGTGTGTGTGTGTGTGTGTGTGTGTGTGTGTGTGTGTGTGTGTGTGTGTATGTGTGTGTGTGTCGGTGGGGGGGGAACTGAATGTGGGGCCTGGGCAGGCAAAGACGGGGGACTGTCTCCTCCCATTCATGACATCCCTTTTACTGAGACCAGGCAAGCGGGTACAGCACCCTGGTTATGAGATGGTTGGCAAATCAACCTGAGGGAGAGGCCCTGGTGGGGAAAAGGTTTTAGGTGCCTGTCTGTGCACCCTGGATCCCTCTTCTCTGAACCTGGAGACTGGAAAAGTGACAGGACATGCTGAAGTGGAATTTCAAGCTCAATTTGGCCTCATTGTCTTCACCAAAGCACTGACCTCTAACAGGCTTACTCACAGGAAAAGTGTGCCAGGCCACTTTCTACATAGGAGGAAAATGAAGTGTTAGAGGTGACATTATTTTGGCTCTTGGCAGGAAAGGCTGCACAAGTCATACCTTGGTTAAAAACATGAAACCCTGAGCTGAGCAGGGTGGTACATGCCCGTAATCTGACCACTCGGAAGGCAGCGGCAGGAGGGTTAAAAGTTTGAGGCCAGCATTACCTCCTGTCTCAAAAAAATCAACTCAACCCAACTCAACCCAAACCATGAAGCTCTAAGTCATAAATGAGCAAATGAAACACTCATTCAGTACCCAAACAGCATATTATATAAGGGGCTGCTGAAAAGTGGTGAAAACTAGATGTCCTCTCTCTCTCCCCACCCTCTTCCTCCCTCCCTCCATTCCTCCCCCCTCTCTTTTTCTGGCAGTACCAGGGTAAACTCAGGGCTTTGTGCTTGCTTGGTTTGCCCAGTTAGCTAGCACTGAACTATTTTAGCCAAGCCTTCAGCCCAACTTTTTCTGCAGGCTTCACAGATTTCCCTGTCTGGCTGGATGGCTTTGAATGTGGACCCTCTGGCTCTCAGTCTCCTGAGTAACTAGGATTATAGTCATTATATTGGTGCTTGGCTCTTCTTGTTTTTCTTTTTTTCCCCAACTAAAAAATACTACTAAAGTATTTAGGTATTCTGTTATATAGTGTACATTTCATTGTTAGGTATAACACAATTATTCATTTAGAGTGCTGATTACTAAATCAGGCACTTTCCAAGTATGAGTAGAGATTTACTCTACTTCAAGAAGAATGCCTATTGAGAATTACTATGGACATGTGTCTAAGATTCCACAGACTCCCACTTGGGAAGCTGGGTGATCTAAGGCCTTTTCAGAACCCAAACACTTACTGGCAGGAAAGCTCTGCTTCCTTAAATTATATCCTTCCTTGACTAGCTTCTAATTTTTGACAGATATAATTGATTGATTGATATTTTGTCAGTCTTGGGGCTTGAACTCAGGTCCTGGGCACTGTACATGAGCTCTTTTGCTCAAGGTGAGCACTCTACCGCTTTTAGTCACAGCACCACTAGTGGTTTTCTGATGTTTCTGAATCTCAGCCTCCTAAGTAGCTAGGATTATAGGTGTGAACCACCAGCACCCAGTGATATATTCATTTTAAATAATAACATTTTATAATATGTAGTACTTTATTATGCTTTGTTGATATTAGATTATCAAAATATATTTTGCTTTTAAAACAATGTTAGGGCTGGGGATGTAGCTCAGTGGCAGAGTCTTTGCCTAGCACTACAAAAACCACAAAACAAATAAAAACATCAAGGAAAGGTTTGGAAATAAAAGAAGGTTAAAATCTCCTGATCAAAACAATCATAATTTTCAGGTTATTTTAGGGCCATGGACATTTCCTGAAAGCCAACAACAGGCCAATGTTAGAAATTTAGAGGGAACCAAGACTCTGTCCTTACCCTTGGGAAACAGGCTAGGGCTAGGTTTGAGGCTGTGAGACACACACAGAATCTGGGACTGAGCCATAGCACTAAACCAGAGGTCAGATAAAGGTTCCTAGGAGCCTAGCCCATGCTGGGACTCAGGAAAGACAGGCTTCCAGCAGAGGGGACCTGTGGCCTGAACATAAAAACACAAAGAAGATAGCTAAGAGAGGGAAACCAGCATCAAGCAAGAGCAAAAGAATAAAACAGCTGGAGACTGGGGAAAACCCGCAGCCAGCTTGACTTAGGGGTCAGGTCTTAGCAAGGCAGTGGGAGGTAATGCTGAGGGGCAGTTGCAAACTGAACCTCAGCTTGTGGGGTGGGGGAGGGGGATGTCTGTCTTTGTGTGTGTGTGTGTGTGTGTGTGTGTGTGTGTGTGTGTATGCTGGTCTTGATGCCTGAACTCAGGGCTTGAGTGTTGTCCTTGAACCTTTGTGCTCAAAGCTAATACTATACCACTTGAGCCACAGCTCTATTTCTAGCTTTTTGGTGGTTAATTGGAGATAAGAATTTCATAGCCTTTCCTGCCTAGTTTGGCTTTGAACCATGATCCTCAGAACTTAGCCTCATAAGTAGCTACAATTACAGTGTGAGCCACCGCATCCAGCTATCTTTCTGAAAAAAATTAAGAAAAGATATGTAATAGTACATATTTATAGGTATATAGCATAATGTGATATTTCTGTGTACAGGTGTGTACGCAATATGTGGTGATCCAATTAGAGGAATGAGCATTTTCCTCTCGCTAACCATTTATTATTTCTTTGTGTCTGGAAGCATCAAATTTCTCTCGTCTAGTTCTTTACCAAATATATGATTGTTGTGAATTATACTCACTGTTTGCACTGTGGTCCATCAGAATTTATTTCTCTTATCTCGCTGTAATTTGGTACCTGTTGTCCAATCTCCAAGGCTGGTGTTGGCCAAGGAGCTGACACTATTTAGGTGGTGGGAGCTACTGCATATAGACAGACTTTCCCTGTTTTGTGTTAATTTACAAAGAAGTCCTAACATGCAGGGCTATCTTAGCAATATATAACCCTTCCTGGTGATGTGCAAACATCTTATCCTTGCCCTTAGGTCTTCTTATGAGGAAAGGAATTGCTGGAATTACTCTGAGGACCCCACTAAGATCATGACCACATCGTGAGACCTCTCTTTTTTCAGACAGGTTGGGCCTATAGACAGGTTGGGCTGAGTGAGGTCCAGCTGGTTGCCTTCAAAGTCAAGAGCTGTGAGCTGCTTGTATTTACTTCCTGCAGCATAAAGTTGCTTACCAAGGAGAAAGCACAGGAGCACATTTCTGAGTATGGAGGAGCTTAGGAGATGGAAGTTTGTGGAGACAAAACAATCTGAGACATGGCAAAGAGATGACAGCCACTTTAAGGAAAAATCAAAGGCCCTGGGGCCACAAAGGGTTACAGGAGGTCATCTCCTGGAGTAACTGGCCCTCTGTGTAGATAGCTGTCCTGTTTCTAACCTATACTCTTCAGCTGAGAGACAGAGAAAGCAGGATGAAAAAACTGAATTTAGCCAGGCGCTGGTGGCTCACGCCTGTAATCCTAGATACTCAGGAGGCTGAGATCTGAGGATTGTGGTTCAAAGCCAGCCCAGGCTGGAATGTCTGTGAAACTCTTATCTCCAATTAATCACCGGAAAACTGGAAGTGGCGCTGTGGCTTAAGTGGTAGAGCACTTGCCTTGAGCTGAAGAGCTCAGGGACAGCGCCCAGGCCCAGAGTTCAAAACCCACAACTATCAAACAAACAAACAAACAAAAAAAACCCCCCTGCATTTAGATTTGTCATTCAAGCTGTACCACATCCTGTGTGGTTATGTAAGCACTTTGTATCACAGTTCACCTCTCTATAAATGAGGACAAAATAGCACATGAGTTATAGGTTTATTGTGCTGATAAAATGTGATCATCCACAGGAACAACTGGTACATAGATGCATACAGCAAACACCAGCTCTCATTACTTGTCAAAGAGAAGCCCCCAAAGAACTAATTCATACAAATGGCTAAAGGATATGATATGCTTATATAGTTACACATATTGCAGATATAAATTTACTGATTGTTTCTATTGAGAAACTGATTGGAATATAAGCCTAAACTGTCCCTCCACATCTTCAGCTCTCATTGTCATAACTTCGTACCAATCCTGGCCACTTCAGGGTGCCGAATACAACTGGTGGATACACTCACCAATTTGCGGATTTCACATTCTAAATTCTGAATACAGTCCAGTTTCCTCTTGCGGCAGCGCTGCGCCGCAATGCGGTTCTTGCTGCGCCGCCGCACATCATGTATGAACTCTAGCTGTTCTGAGGTTAGCTTGTGCATCTTAATCATCATCTGGAAGTCATTCCTTGGAAGGTCTGTGATTTGATCCACTGGAAAAGGAAGTTTGACCTGAAACCAAGCATAACAGAATGGAATTACTGCAGCTGGATTTTACTTTCAATTTTGGCAGGTGTAACATTGGAAAACGGCAAAAACCTCTTTTTAAGATGACCAAGTAACATGGACATGGAAATTACTGAAAACAAGCAGTGATTTTTTTTTCCTGTTTTACATTCAAGTAAGATGAAATGTTTGGATACCAACCAGAATAACACATATTATAATATCATCATTCCTGAGATTTCTGAAGCAAATAGCATAGAAAACGTGTCTTCTTCTTTGTGTGTGCCAAGGTATGGGGGGTTGAATTCAGAGCCTCATGTCTTGCTTAGCTTTTTCCCTCAAGGCTGGTGCTCTCCCACTTAACCTATACCTCTACTTGTGATTTTTGCCAGTAAACTGGAGATGAGTCTCAATGACTTTTCTTCCCAGGTTGACTCTGAATTTTGATCTTCAGATCTTCGCCTCCCTAGTAGCTAGGATTACAGAATAAGCCACTAGTGCATGCCACATTAAAAACATTTTGTAGTATGTTTGTAAGAAGGACTTTACAATTAGCTAAACTCTTCCACAAGCATGGCTTAACTCAGGATGTCTGTAAAACTCTTTAATGAGGCAGGCCCAAAACACCTTGAAAAATAAAACCATTAGAATGATTCTTGGAAATGACAGCAGAAAAGGAGATTTAAGGAATTAACTGGTCAGGATCCAACTTGGATAAGCATAGGCACCAGAACTGTGCTTTGGTCATTCTTATGACATGCAACCTCAGTCAGGTTACTTCGGTCCTTTAAGCCTCAGTTTCCTTATCTGCAAAATGGTATATGTTTCTGAACTATGCACCATGTAAGCATTAGGCACTTCAGCTGTTTCTCCCAAATGGCCATCTAATTATACATCATGCTGCCTTCCTCTATCAAGAGGTCTGATATAGGCCCTGCCTTTTGATCAGAGGCCAAGTTATGTAAGGTACTCAGACTTCCCCTTAGGCCTCTTAGTTTTCTCTAGAGGAAACTAGCTAAGATGGCTAGAGGACACACATGCCTCTAATAAACAGTCAGTATCTGTTGAATTGACTATCTTGGGAATGGATTATTTTTTCCAGTCTGTAGCCCTAGCCAGCACCTGAGATATCTTGGGCCAGAAGTGATCAGATGGGCAATTTGTGACTCAGAAACTGTGAAAGAGGCCAAATGATTATTGTTCTTCAGAGCTAGGGAATGTCTGGCAAAAGTATTTGGTACATGATAGGACAGACGCATATGCTTCTTCAATGCTTCTTATTGGCTACCTATATCAATTATTTTGTATGGTCTACTAATGATGTTATAACTATCCAAAAAGGTTTCCTCAGCTCTAGAGGCCATGTAGTTTTGTGCTTTATTAGGCAGCAATTGATAACACATGCAGGTATTTTATCATTAAGATTCTGACTTTGAATCCTTGAGAAATAAAAGCAAATAAGCACTATTCAAAGAGAGGAAGCAGCCATTCTCTTTAGGACTGGACATCTGTTCTCCCTGTATTGCTAAGTGGTTACAAAACAATGGTGATTTAGAATATTTCTTAAGGAGAGAAGAGCAAATAATGAAAAAATGCATATAAAAGTACAGCACGTGGGAGCGAACCAAGGCTATGTTAGGCTATGTCTCTATGTCTATGTTTCAGTACTCATTTGATGATTGAGCTGCAGGGAAAGGAAGATTTTGAGGAGGAGGCGGCAGAGTGAGCAGAAGTTTTGTTTTTTTCCTATTGTGATTGAGAATTGAACTCAGGATCTTATTGCCAGTCAAGCACTCTAGCATCGGAGCTACAACTCTAGCCCCCAGGGGGCAGTGTTGGTAGGTTTGATTGCTTAATTCTTGCTCACATCTGAGTCAAATCTGCAGGTTGACCAGCAGATGGCAGCACAAACCTAAACTTCCTTCATATGCTAGCTCACTGGTAACACAGACATCAATCTGCTACAAACGTGATTTTAAATTTCCAGTAGCCACAGTGAAAGAAGCTGGTGAATTTCATCTTATACTGTCCCTTCATACAGTAGATTTAAAATCTAACATGCAATGAATATAAAGATTATTACCAGGTAAATTTTTGTGCTGTTTTTTTCTAAATTCAAAGTATATCTTATTGTTTTAGATCATCACAATTCAGATGTCACCTTTCAGGGGTTCACTAGGCATGTTCAGGGAGTGGCTCCTGAGTGAACACACAGCTCTGGTGACTCAAACACATAGGCCTCAGTTTAATTCACCAAGATTTCTGGTGAAGAATCCAACCCCTTGATTAGTAAGCAGTTGCTTCAGTGTCAGACCTGGGGCTGTTCCTAGCCTAAGCTTAGGCCTTTTCTTTGTCTCTGATGAAGGCAGCCATGAATCCTGATCCTGGAGCATCAGTGGCCAGGTAATCCCCATGCACAAAAGCAAACACACTAAAGAATCATTTGACTTCTCTGTGGTCAGTGCAATTTCATTGTCAGGTTATTTCCTAGCTCTATGCTTCTTTGATGTGGCACTTGCTGAAGGCTCGTCATAAGTACTCTGATTCAGCTTCTTCGTGGTCAACTCTGTCTCATGACACCTGTGAAATTCTGGCCTAAGAAAGCGAAATGACAGTAGAACACATTACACCACAGTCAGGTGAGCCCTGCTTCTACTGCTAAAGACAGGCAGCCAGGACAAACACCTCCTTGTTAAGGGCTAGGGAAGGCCTTTGTCCACAGGGCTGTGTTTGCACAAGGCTTATAAAGATATGAAAGGACGTTTGATCTCCCCTCTCTACCCTTTGGATAACCAAGATCCTGGATGATGTCTCGATCACACAGAGGTCTTGTGTTGGGGACACGGATGTTTCGACATTTCATTGGAGCTCATGGAATTCCCACTCCAGCTGACAACAAAGCCATCTTACTTCCACTCCAAATGATGTGTACTTATTTCCAAAAAAAAAAAACCCACCCCAATATCTTCAGCATAGGCTGAAGAGAAAGTCAAAAGGCCTCCTCCCTCCACCCCGCACCAAGAGCTACTGTATTTAAAATCATTTGGACAGCAAACAAAACAGAAGGTTGGCAGGAAAGAGGAAAAATCAACAATGCTAGTTTCAAAGTCCTTGAAGCAAAAGGCCACCTGAAGGTTTTCAGCAGGGCTGTTGCAGCTCAAGCTGCTCTTTAAGGAGGGTCAAAGGAAAAGAAAACAGTCAACCACACACTTTCTTCTATGAGGAAAAAAAAAAAGCCAAACCACTCACTGCTGTGTGTTTTTAGAGTTCTGCTGGCCCGCCACAGGAAGGACTTGGGTTGGCTAGCAGGTGGGACCCTGACTTGTTCCTAGAGGGGCACAGTAGAAAATCTGTCATAGCCCTTTGATTTTTTTCTTTTGGTTTTTTAGTGTGGTTCATTATTTTCAGAGTCTGGTGACATTTTTTTTCAAACCAGTGGCATCTTCCCTGGAGATGAGGAACAACTACCACCAGCTCTTTGGGTTCCTTGGAAAAATATTTTAATATTCTACTTACAGCCTCTTGGGTACCTAAACATTCCTCACTCAGATAATGACTGAAGGCTGAGGCCCCCTTTCTCCAAGGAAATGCTCACAACCTAAACAGCACTGATCCTGTTAGTTTCCATCTTTCCACAGACTTATTTCTCCAACATCTCATGTCTCAACAGTGGTTTGGTTTTCAGCCACTGGATTCTCATAACTACCACACAACAGCCAAATTGACTAGAGGAAGAGTCCCGCCAGCTATCACCAGTACCTGTCTGAATGGCCTGAACTTACATTCAGCTGACCCCTTGTGGCTCGGGGCAGGTAGACTGCATAGGAAGGCAATGCCCATGGGACCTGTGGTTGCTGGATCTCTTCAGCCCCAAGCTTGCTGCTTTAGTTCTTGATTGAGGCTCAAAGACTCAGAAGCAGCCTCTGAGTCAGCAAGCTAAGGGCCCAAGAGGGCAGCACAGGCCACTGCTTTGCTCTGCACAATAAGCTGATGTTGATTTTACCCAGCCCTAGCAAAGTGCTGACTCTTCTTTCTCCCTGGACCACACAGGAGGAACAGGGTCAGTAGTAGCTTTTAGCATAGTACCTGCACTTCCCTCTAAGCCGTGCTCAGAAAATGTTAGACCTTCCATATCTTTAACACTGATTGATTAGGACCTCTGGCCTCAGGATGGAAAAGGGCAGGAGGAATCTTACGATGTGTGGTGCATGAAACCTAAGCATGCCTCCTTGGTACATTTATACTACCAGACATAGACAGGGGAGACGAGAGGCTGCAACTGCTCCCCATCTCCCCAAATCAAAAACCAGTGCACCAACAACTTATACATAGAGTGCAGCCTGAATCATCAACCCCATTAAAAACAATTAAAAATCATAAACTTTTAATAGAAAATTCATATATGGGACAAGAGAAGAGGAAAAAATTCCCACCCACCCACAAATCATGATTCTCTTGCTCTGGTAAGTTTCCCTAGGACATTTATCTCCTCTGAACCTTTTTTTAAATGGTTGCAACCAGCCTATTATACCCACCTCACCATCCTATGCCTTTGAACACACATTTTACTGCCTGTGTCTCTGGTTTGTTGGATGAGGGTTACTGGAGAAGGACAGAGGTACAGATTTGATAGAAAAAAAAAAACCACCCATTTCCTCTGAAGTCTCAGTGGTCAATGGAAGATTGGTTTGTAAGAGTTTTCCACCTCCTTTTCTTTTTTCCTGTGTGTGCCAGTCTTGGGCTTGAACTCAGGACCTGGGCACTATCCTGAGCTTTTTGTGGTCAAGGCTAGCAGTCTATCATTTGGGCCGCAGCTTTTTGTTGGGTATAGATGATAAGGGTCTATGACCTTTCCTTCCTAGGCTGGCTTCGAAGGGCAACCTTCAGATCTCAGCCTCCTGAATGGCTAGGATTATAGGAGTGAGCCACTGGTGCCCAGCTTCACCTATTTTTTTTTTTGGGGGGGGGGTCCAGTCATGGGGCCTGAACTCAGGGCCTGGGCGCTG